TAATCTGCCATGAACACAGTTGAACCCTTGTAATATGATTGAGCATCATTTGGGTATATGCCAAGATGGAGATACCCACTGAAATAGCTTACCTGAGCTAATGGGAGCTCACCAACTCTGGCCAGACAGGAAATGAGCCAGCATAGGATCAAACTAGGCCCTCAGAATGTGGGTGACAATTGTATGACTGGGTTAGACTGTGAGGCCACGGGCAGTGGAACCAAAATTTATCCCTACTGCTTATACTGGCCTTCTGGAACCCAATATCTTTGGAGGAATATCTTGCTCAGCCTAGATATAGTAGGGAGGGCACTGGTCCTTCCTCAAAGCAATGTGTCTTACCATCTCTGAGGAAAGGTTGGGGGTGGGGTGGGAGAAAATTGAAGGGAATAGGAAGAGGGGAGGGAGTAGGAACTGGGATTGGTATGTAAAATGAAGAATAGAAACCTGCAGCGTCCTGAGGAGGGGGGTCCATGGAAAATCCAAAACCCACCAGGAGAGGGAGCCCACTCTCTGAAAAATATGCACAGGGGATTGTGGGGAAGAAGCATGTGTGGGAGCTGCCTAAAGGCAGAGCTGGCTGGTGGTGACCAACTCTGACAGAGTCTGCTGCAGAGAGGATGAAACAGAAAATCTAGGCAATCTAGTCAGGGGGAAGTGACTCTAGAAGGAGCCCTTGCGTTCAGCTCCAGCATGTGCTTGTAGCCACAAAGTGGCATTCTGTGAATTTGTTCCCCAAAAGTTGGAAACCAGATGAAGCATCAGCCTAATCTGTAGAGGACCGCAACCACATACTCCATTACAAGATGGCGCTGGCATCCGGGTTCACCGCCAGGTGAACAGGGTAACGCACACGTGTTTGGTAACTTTCCACTACTGCGTCCCCGCCTACTCCCGAGGCATCATCTGGGATAATGGGCAGTGGGCCAATCCAAGGGTGACACGTCCGAAGCGAGGACTGTTTCATATATAAGGGCTGGGTTCCCCTCGTCCTGGGTCTCCGCCATGTTAGCTTATGCTCTCTCTCTTTCAGGACGCATTAAAGCTTTTCTGCAGAAGAATCCTAGTGTCCCGCGTGGTTCTTGCTGGCGAGACGGTAGCGTGGGACACTAATCAGTGTTCTCAATAACAACCAGGAGTCAGATATTGGGGTAAACACTGAAAGATCAGAGAAGCAGAGCAGCAGGCACCAGAGGCCTCTTATCTCTGGATTCTCTGGCCAAAAGACTGAGATCCTGTCTTCACTCCACCAGTCTTCACTTCCCAAGTGCGGGGATTAAATTGTGAGCCACCACTGCCCAACTTCTTTGGTTAACTAGTGGCTAACTCCACCCTCTGATCCCCAGACAAGCTTTATTTGTCAGAACACCAAGAAAATATCACACAACACATAAGTAATTAAAGAAACAGAGAATTAAAACAAACAAGCAAATAAACCCCACAAATTAGTCTTTAAAAATGTGATTAGAATAAGAACAGGAAGATCTCAAAGCAAACATATTTCTCAAAAGAAATGAAAGCAGCTGAGAAGTATCTTTAAATTGTTATTGTTAGAGATTAGGTTAAATGAAAATGAAAACTACTTTGAGATTTCAGCTTATCCCTATAAAAATTACAATTTTTAAAAAAAAAATCATGGAAAGGATGTTTTAAAAAAAAGATAAGTCTCATTCACTGCTCATGGGATTGTAAACTTGTACAGTCACTTTGGAAAACAGGGTGGAGAACCTTTAACAAGCTAAAAATTAATCTACCATATGACCCACTCCTCTGTATATATCCAAAGAATTCAACATCCTACTCCGCAGATACTTGCTCAGCAAAGTTTGTTGCTATTTTACTCATAATTGCTAGGAGATGGAAATAATTTAAAAGTCCTTCAACTGATAAATGGACAGTGGAAATACTCATACATATTCTGAGATAATACTCAGTTGCAAAAGAAAAATGAAATTTGCTGGTAAATGGAGGGAATCAGAAAGGAACATGTTGAGTAATGTAACCCAGACTGAGAAAGACATACAAACTCATCTGTGTTTTTTTACTCCATGTCTTCATATGCCAGTATACATCCTGGAATAACTGCAGAAACCAGAAAAGTAAGAAGGGCTATGATGGTGGATAGGCACAATAGACAGGAAAATAACAAAGTTGCTTTGTTCATGGTGACTTAACCCCACAATTGAAAAGTATCTAAGGCAAAAGTTGGTACCAGGAAGTAGGTTATTGCTGTGAAGAACCTGACCATATTGGTTTTTGAAGAAAGGTGTAAGACTTTGCAACTTTGGACTCGAAAAACAGTTGGATGCTGAAGAAAAAGCTTAATAAGATGTCCTAATAGAAACCTGGGAGACAGCAGTGCTGAGAGCTGTGCAGATTGGCAAGCTTCACTTCAAGAGATTTCAGAGAAGAAGTGTGTTGTAGTCAGCAATACCAGAACCATAAAACCTTTTAAACCCATTGCACAAAAGGTGGGGCCACAGGATTTGGTGTTAGCCCTTCTGTTCTTCAGTTCTGCCTTGATCTAGCATTTCCTCACTATAGTCCCTTTCTTCCCCTTTGGGTTGGTAATGAATATATTGTGCAGTTGTATGTTGGAAGTATGTGACTTGCTCTTTGATTTTTCGGTGGATTTGCAATAAAGAGATTACACTGAGTCTCAGAAGGTCATGGTATTTTATCTCAGAACTAGAAAAGTGAAGTATACACCATCTTCACCTGACTAGAGGTAGAAATGTGTCTTGTGTTCCTGTCTCATTGCTCCAGCAGCTGCAATCCATATCATCCACGACCTCGATTCTGACCTATCAATTTCTAACCTGTAAAAAACCCACACACAATTATCTAAATATCTTCAGCTCTCATCATGTGTGGTGAGTTTGATTGAGAATAGCCTCTATAGGCTCATGTATTTGAATGCTCTGTCACCAGGGAGTGGCGTATTTGAGAAGAAACAGAAGGATAAGAAGATGTGGCCTTGTTCAAGGAAATAAATAGCTCTGAATGGGCTTTGGGATGTCGAATTTAAGGTCAGA